CTCACTTATAGGAATCAACTCAATAACTCAACTCTGAGTTGAGTTTCCCACCTCTAGAAGGCACCAAATTGACCGAAGGTTGTTTACTGGTTATATTGTGGTTTTTTGACTGGATATACTGAGGCGAAATGTATTTAGGTATGACATTAAGTTTGTTATTTCTTGCACAGTTCGCTGTTGCTGCTGCCAAAGATAACAAAACATTTAAGGCTACGAAAGAATGGAAAGAAATAAAGAACGGTTTGTAGCTTGGTAAATATGTATGTGTTTATATAATTTTTATAAATGCCGAATTGCTTATGTAGGGCAAGGGATCTCAGCCGGGCTGCATGTACGCATAAACTTGCAAACAGGTAAAAAGGCAGCAAAACTTTTAGACGAATCTGAGGACGATGAGCGTACAAATGCTGGCTTGCCTAACGTGGTTATAAAAGGTGTTCCGAAAACCAATTTTAGAGCAACGGCTAAATCCACATTAAAAATCAGTAAAACACTCTCTGAAACATTAAAAAATATCCCCAAAGACAGTTTAGGTATTGGATATTCACCCGAAAAATTGGAGCAAATTAAGCGAGACTTTAAAACATACAACGAATTGACGGAATCCTTTAAGGATTTGCAGAACGAATTTCAGACTGATACAGAACTAATAACCAAACTTATTAACAAGTATACGAATCTTAGAAAACAAGAATTTTCATTAACGTTGGAGGATCAAATTAATACCCAGCTTCATATTCTTGAGGATCTCGATTATCTCGTTCATCAAATTGACAATGCATTGTGGTTTATTGACAAAGGAGGCTTCGAACAAATACTTTTACCGCTCTTTGTGAACGATACAAATATGAATCTACGCATAAAAGCCATCCGTTTGCTGGGGGCTGTAATTCATAATAATCCTAAAGCTCAAATAAAAGCGTTCGAAAGGAATTTCGGATCTCATTTGTCTCAAATTCTTATATCATCTAAGATATCAGAAGAATTATCCTCCGCATTATATGCTTTTGGAAGTCTTTTGAGGAAGTTTCCATTAGCATTACAAAAAATTCTATCCGCATCTGGTACTCAAGCATTAATCGCGGTGCTAGCTAAAGATTGTGAGTTAAAAGTAAAAGCAAAAGCTATCACTTTCATAAGTGATATAATTGTTGAAAAAAGAATTGTTCTATCAAATCTTGAGAACTCTGATAACTTACGCGCTGCAGCACAATATGCTGATTTGAATCTACCAGAATGGTTGCAGTCAAATTCCTTTTGCGAAACCGTTGACCAATTAGTTTCAACTAAACTCTATGAGCTATTAGATCAGCCAGATTTAGCAGAGTATTTTATAGAGGGTTTAGAAAACTCCAAAGACATTTGTAAATCGATTTGGTCAAAAAGTCCTCAATTCAGGCATACGTTATTAACGATGAAAAATCGCTACATCTATAGTCAAAATGAGTTTCAGATCGAGATTGCACAGTTCATAAATAGACTGTTAGAAATTCTTTACAGTACCAACGATCATGATGAACTTTGAGATTTCATTATTTAAATAGTTTTTAGATTAACTAGTTTAACATATGTATTTAATAAAAGTTTTTATATTAGGGCTCTTCATCAAAATTGATAAACTTGAGAAAATGATAAATTTATCATATTGATAAATGAACTGTCAAACTTTGCATGGAAATCTATTTAACCAAAGTTTATCACTTTATCAAACGACTTTAATGGATAAATGTATAAATTGCAGCAAAATTCAACCCTGACAGGTTACCAGGTGGTCGCTTTTGCTACGACGCAAATGAACACAATGGACGAGGTAAAAATGAAACGGAGCTAACCATATAAGCTAAATAATAAACAATTTTATGCAATTATTTACCAAATTTAAGCAATTTATCACTTTAGATGAAGACCCCTATTTTAAAATGCATGCATACTTATTTATTTTTATTAATATACCACCTTTCATTGCAATAAGTTATGTATCTGCAGCTTTAAGTGTATCCACATCGGATGTCGTTCACTTTTAAAGAGAGCAAAACAAAATTGAAACCATCGTATATACTTACAAGTATGGAATCCTATGCCCCTTTTTGTCTATCCCCTTTCTAACAGCGGACGTGCCTGCCAAGCAGCGGACGTGCCTGCCAAACTGAAAAGCATGATGGCGGCAGTGTTTGACAGGCACGTTCGACGTGCGAACGGCAATGGAAGGTAAGAAATGGAAGATGGATGACATGAGAATGAAAGAATTATGAAATAGCAGAATGTAGAACCAAAACGAATTTCAAAAATCTGACAATGCGAATGAAGTCAAAATGAAAGAAATGCAAAATACCGAAATGTCGAAACAGAAGAAATAGATGACAGGCACGTGTTCAAGGGTTTCGTGCAACAAAAAGAGTTGTTGTGTTGCGCCATTCAATATTAAAAAAAAGTAATGTGGTTAAATACGCTTTTCTATTAAGTTGAAAAATTACATATTTCGCCAGCCAAAAAGTGTATAAATAAATATATAGCATATTGCTATAAGATTTATTTATAAAAACGGTACATGCTTATGACCTTATTCATAAAAAAGAAAATAGATGTAAAGTAACAGTAAAAAAATCGATTTGCTTACTTTTTAAGAATTTGGGAAAAACATTTGACTAAAGTTTTTGTGCACCCATCTCTTTTTCTGTTTATTATTTTCAAATTTTTCTTTTCCTTAATACTCATTGAGTTTTCATTTACACCCAGCAAAAATCAAAATATTTTATAAGAAATTTGTTGACTGTTTCTCGCACACTTCTCGTATGCTTTTTTATCGTAGTTATTATTCTGTTGACATCTAAATTGCCATAAATTTTATGTTGTTGCCAATACATTGTTTTCCGGCGTTTCCTCTGTGAACTTTTATAACTACATTCATAAAAATATTACTAATTTTGGTTTATAATTTTTTTCCATCTTGTTATTGCTGAATATCAAAAAGGAATTAATAAATAATAAAAAG